GTTCTGTATCTCCTCCTGATACCATTCCGAGAGAGTACTGTCAGGTTGGATAGGTAGAGTGGGAACATGTCCAACATGCTCCATGGCCATTTCGATATCCTCAGTGGTTAACTTGGGACTAGGAACCCGAGAAGCAAGAATAGTGTGGGAACTGGGAGTGGTTTCCATTTCAGGATGAGGGGTATTTTCAGTAGGTTGATCCAGAGAATACTCTGGAGAAGTATGGTGGAAGTTGATAGCATTGATATCAAAATCATCAGAGGGATATTCCTCTGGGACTTTTTCAATTGATGCAAGGTTAAACTCCTCAGCACCTTGTCTGGGGATGTCAAGCTCATTGGTTTGGGCTTTAGCCTTGCCCTTACCATGGCAATGATTTTGGTTATGTCCATGGTTGGACGAACCACCCTGCTGATTATTTTGTTGAGGGTAAGGCTGGTAAGAGCCTCCCCCTCTTCCATGATTTCCCCAAAAACCACCACATCCACCTTGGCCATGAGAGGAGCCACCACCTCCACCATGATGGTCTTGAGTATTATGCGAGCCCTTGCAGATATTGCAGAGGGGTGGTTTGTTCATGCGAGATAGTAAGGAGTTAGACTCCTTTTTGATGGTAGTAGAAGAGCCTGAAGACTCTCCAATTTGTCTTGGTAATAATGATTGACCAGATTGATGAGACCATAATTCCTTCATGCGAGGAATTACTGCATCAGGGCCTAAGTGTGCAGGATCAATGGAGGATAGGATATTTGTGGGAGCTTGGTCCCAGGAAGCAGTCATGGAATGGATGAGAAGCAATGACTTCATTTTATCCAAAGTGATGCCTTGACCAGATATGGTTTTGAAAAGCATATTAATCTCAGCTATTTTAGCCATGAGATCATCTTTGGGTTTGATTTGAATTTTAAGGAGTTGTTGGAACTCCATGAATGTCGTCATGGCAGAAGGTTTGCCATATTTTGCTTCGAGGTCATCCCATTTTAATTTAGAAGTCGCATGCGCGTCAACAGAGAGTGCGATCATTGGATCACAGTAAAAGGTGATACACCCCTGAGCACATGAGTCCGAGATCTGCCAGACTCGAGCTTCGTCAGTGTCCATGGGTAATGCTTCCGTTCCTGATATGATTCCCCACACTCTGAGTGTTTGAAAATAAGCCTTCATCATAACTTGCCAAACAGCATAGTTCATCCCATTAAGTTTCAGGATGTTCTTTCCAAGACCTCCTTCAGAAGACATGCTAATAGATGTCAAGGATTAGATGGTCATAGAGGAAAGTTTTTCATGGATCAGTGAGTCCAGGATTAAATGTTCCTTGGAGGAAGGTGCACATGTGTTTACAACACTTGCAAGCATGGGACTTTTGTCCAGGTCGAATCTGAGTCCTTGGTGATTGGCATTTTATTTTTGGTTCTGGTTCTGTGCCTTTCTCAGCATAATGCCAATCAGCAATGCAAGAACTCTGCTGAACATTGTACTCGAGGAAGTCGAAGCACAAGTCAGGGAAGTAATGGTAGGATAAAAACAACCATCCCATTTCATGAAGTCCATGGGGGTTCGAAAAGCCTAACCATTCAGAGGCACAAGAATAGGGAAAAGGGAACCAGCCATAAATCTGATTACCATACTCCCTAGAAGCTAAGATTTCGTAGACATTGTATGAGCTATCTAGGCAGGGTTTGAGAGATCCATCAAGATACTCGAGGAATTGGCCTGTGGATGCGTATGGTACATCCATGGTACTGGGGAGAGGATAATTTGCACTTAACTTCAGCAGCCACATGAGACCAAGCAAGAGTGCTGGCAAGTAGTCCGCAACATCTGGGTTGGCTGTGAGATGAGTCAGTATCACAGGCCATCGCATGTTCGAAGTCAGCCAGAACCACATTTGTTCCAGGCCAGTAAACAAATTTTTTGTAACCAGTAGCATCAAGGTACCAAAGAGTACCTGTAGCTTTGTCGTAACCAGTTCAGGTTTTGTCCATACCTGCATATGCCTTAAAGGTGTTGACAAACTCCAATAACTGCAAGTCAAAAAGATGTCCCCCAGGCCATCGCTCTCTGAAGAAGAGGGGGATACATTCAACGTCGGTAATTCCTTCTCTCCAAAGTCCTCTGTAATGGCCTTCCAGATACTCGTGCCAAACCCTGAGAGGAGGGACAAGCTCATGGAAAGGGTTTCCTGAGACATAGAGGGGATGGCAGTTGTAGTAGATGTAGATGAACATGTCATGAGTGATGGTGGAGGCCAGAATGGTCCAGAGGGCAGGATCTTCATAGGTTAGACTGGGAAGGTCACAACCATTGAAGTGAGTGATAGCATTTGGAGTAGAAAGGAATGAAAGTTTTGGAGCAAAGTCAGTAAGATAACCATGAAAGGCAGTATGGATACCTGGGAGTTTGAACAGTGTGTCGAGGCCTGGATATGTTGGGAAGCCATCCCAAGTCACCTCAATCTGGGAAAGAGGGACATGGGCAAGCAATGGTTGCAGGCACACAAAGAAAGATCTGCTACTAGGTACCACGTAATGCCAGTGGGAACAATCTCTAACATATATCGCCTCCATATATTCCACAACTTTCTTCACATACTCCTTCCTCCATTTATTCCCTGTGTACATGCCATCACAAGAGTGGGCAGCTGCAATTTCAGTTTGTTTTGCAACGATGAGAGACATGCTAAGAGAAAATGCATAAGATTCTGTTCATAAGTTATTAGGGACGCAACGTTAAAGTAAGTCAAACTCTGTGATGTTGTTGCTGACAGCGAGATCGACCTCAGCGATCAAGGCATTAGCCTGAGTGAGATCGACCTCAGCGATCAAGGCATTAGCCTGAGTGAGATCGACCTCAGCAATCAAGGCATTAGCCTGAGCGAGAGTGTCACCTAATGCCTGTATGAGCTCCAGAGGAGGAGTTGCTTCACAGTGAGGGGGAAGTGGATCGGCACCTCCTTCAACTGTGTACAGCAGAATGGGATCAAGGTTGGCATCGTCATCGCGATCAGGAATCACATGGAGAAGATAATGGGGAGGCAGAGCCTCAACCATAGGAGGATGGAGTCTGTCATGAATGAGACATAGATCAGCTCCCATGGCAGCAGCAATGTGAGCACATACCCAGTAGAGATGGATGTCATGCCATAAAGGACCAGCTAAGGCTGCAGTCCAAAATGTGACAGAGCATGCAAACATCTCCCTAAAAGGTCCATATCCTCCAAGTGAAAGATAGAAAATAGTAGTATAAAAAGCCATAAGAAGCGACACAATGTAAGCAATAATACTCCATCCTAGCGCATCTAGGCTGTCAAATGGCATGCTGATATGGCCGTTGCCAGAGATCAGTAAATGCTCATAAGACAATAGCACACTGATGGTTAGATGTTGGGGCTCATAACCTATTGGCAGAGGAAGGAGGATGAAGGGGAAAAGGGCGAGAGCTAAGGACGAGCACTTGCCTTTATGATTGGATAGAGTGTTGAAAGTAGTCGGTATTTGATTAGAGCTATTGAGGCTTGTAAACAGTAAAGTAGAGTTGATTGACTGAACTGCTTAGGGGATATGGCAAAAACCCCTTGGTTTATATACATGCAGGTATGCACACAGACCAGGTGATGCATATGGTAAGTAAAGATACTACCTACTATGTATAGTAAAGAATGTCATGGAACACCATAGAATAAGTGGAGTAAAGTGACATCATTGTGGAGTCACTTATAAAGCATGACATGATATGAGTAAGACTCATTGTATAAGCAAGTCTAGAACCAGTAATGAGAAACACCGTTAACTGGTATTTCCAACATGCACATGAATTTTGTCTGGAAACATTTCAGCTCCTTTTGATATGTTCCTGATGTTGACTCACCCAGACTGAGGCCCCCACCAACTCCACCCATGTAATAATAGCCACCATTAGTTTCAGGAAATGGAAGGTTGCATTGTAGTGAACAAGTTCGAATTCCCTATGAGAAGTCATCTTGGTTGGAGGAAAATAGGGGTTGGAGGACTTGTGTTTTATTTCTTGCTTTTGTTTTCATGTTTGTACCACTGGACTTGGTGGCAAGCAGCCGCATTGCTGACTAAGCACGCGTGCTGTGTTCATGCAAGTTCAGTTTACCAAAAAAAAAAAACAAGTTCATGACACAGGCCCTCAGTAGTAGGGTGATTTCGTCTCGCATTTTGGCAAGTTTTGAAGTTAGAATTATTACTTTGGGGAGTACCCAAAGGGCCAGGAGGACTGGCAAGAGGTATTAGACAGGCAGAGCTAAGTATTCGTTTCAGTTTGCATTTTTACATTTTTACTACACTTCTTTTCTCCAGCGGGAACCTCCCTTTTGGGTCGAGCACAAATCTCGCCCATCTCTGACTATCACTATTTCTAGGTACTATCTTCTATTACCTATTCCTACATCTGGAGCCCACCGCGAGGGGGGTTCTGTTTGTTTGGGGAAGGAGTCACCACCTTATGACCACAAGTGCTCGGATCAAATAGCTAAGTCTTTCAGAGTTTTTAAATTCACTGCAGTCTACACTTAGAACATCAGAAAATTTTCAGGACTTGTACTCGAGCGAAAAATGACAGGCGAGCGACATTCACGAAGGTCACACGAGTCAAGAGCCAATTCTGAAGGCAAATTGATAGTGGAATTTTTGCGAAGAAGCCGTGAGAATGCACCAAAAGAGCTAGAGGAAATGCCGCCGAGGCATTCAAGTGATGCACCGCAATTCTCGGGATATGCGACTGCCTTTTTAGGTATCTTGAAAATGTCCGAAGACTTTGCGAACATGCGGAGTGTTTCGATGATCGAGAATGGGCCAAATGGGCATGTTAGTATGCAGGCGGCACAAGTTCTGATGCCTGGTACGAGTTTGTCGAGGAGCATTCGAGCTGGCCCGAGTTTGTGGTGGCTGTTGCACGCTTGTATCCAGGGTCTAGGGAGTGGGATCGACAGTATTCGAGAGATGATATTTACAATCTCGTTGACAGGCTTGCAAGGAGAAAAGTTCATTCACAGGAGCAGCCAACAATCTACAGGGTACATTTCCTCGACTTGGCGGCATATCTGCGGGTCTCGAGACAGCTTGAGGCTGATGAAGTTGAAGATCTCTATTTACACAGCTTTGACAAAGAATTCCGGCGTGCAATTGTTCGGAAAATGCGATGTGACGATCAACGGCGACATCGGACGACCCATGGCCCATGCAACAAGTAATGTTCACGGCTACAAGACTGCTTCGGAAGGGATTTCGCTCAGAGCGAGCACGAACGAGCGCAGAAGACCACTACAAGCCACGAAGTGACCCAGAATTGAGTTCGGACAAGCAACAACTACCTTCGAAGTGTTTTCCATCTACAGCTACAGATGACTTGCTGACAACCAATGTGCAGGGATCTACAGATTTATCAGGATACATAGAATGCAAGAAAGTCCCAAAAGTAGCTTCGACAAGTCCTGCGCAGCCACACAGTCCACCCGAGAAGGCAAAGAGTGAAGACCGAAGCCCCAGCAGGCTCGTCGAAGCAGCAGCAGCAGCCTGTTTCCAGACGAAAGAGTTTTCTTTGAGTACAAGTGAACTACTGACTACCGAGTTACAGGAAGCGCCAAAGCTCGAGCAGGTTGAACCAGTGCTAGTGGAAGAACTGCTCGTAACGAAGGTCCCAGTTGAATTCGAGGCAGATGACAACACTCAAATGGGTTCTTTGTTTTGTTCACGTGGAGTTTCTCTGATGGCTACTGGTGTGTTGCTTCAGGAGTCCTGTCTAAGAGGTCAAGGCGACGAAAGAAGCGACCTCGGAGATCTAGCAGTCAGCGAAGATACACATCAGTTAACCGATGACCTGTTTGTACCAAAGATTCCACTCGAGTTCAAGGCAGAGAGGCTCGGAGAACAGCCGAAGCACACAAGAGTTGGAGTCGAAGAGCTCGAAATGCTCGCAGGCAGCCCCGAAGCGAAAAGGTTGGCAGACGAAGGGATCATTGACTCACACAGGGCGCCACAGCGCACGAATCACACTGGGTCGAAGGTTGTTGCAAGAAGAATCAGGATCGAGGAGCCATCGAGGCTCGTCATACGAAGGAAGCCGCCAGAAGAAGTTTTTTCGAGTCGAAATGTTGAGGCACACAGCGAGGATAGATGCCCTCGCACTCGAAATATTCTGCGGCCGCGCAGTGTCAGAAATAAATGTTTTATTCGAGGATTCGTCGAGCGAATCGACGCGCGCACTCGGTGCTAGTAGGACTTGTGCAGAAAGTCCTGCGATGTTGACTAAGCGGAGTCACGTGACCGCTCTGCGCGTCGCGGCCACGCGCACTCAAGTACTACATACTGACGCATCTAGTATTACAGGCCAACTACGCAAGATCGCAGCGATCGAAGGGTATGAAGAATGGGGCGAACAAGGTACCGTGTGGAAGCTACCACGAATACAAGCGACAGTGACGACAACGAGAGCGACATCGGCAGTGACTCGAGCGACAGCGAAGACGACGACGTCGACTTTACTCAGTGCAGATCGACAGCCACACGAGATAGGGAGAGCCGTTCCATTGAGACAAGGCACGAGGAGCGCGGGTACTGAGCTCGACGGCTCGAAGGTTCGTTTTGATTTTGAAACATTTTACTTATGTCTGTGTTATTCTAGGGAAGCCGGCTATCTACGGCGAACAGCGACTGCGGTACAAAGAAGAACAACGACGATGACGCTCGGCATAGATCGAAGGCTGCGCAAGGCTAGAACAGCCGTTAGATGGAGATGGGGCGCGAGGAACACAGACACTGAGCTCGACGGCTCATCGGTTTGTGTTGATTTCGGAACGTTTTACTTAAAACTACCTTATTCTAGGAGAAGCGGATGTGCGAGACGATGCTTGAACGACGTCCGAGCAGCGGCGATTCAAGGATCTATGACGATCTACGAGGAGAAACAGCGGGCCATCGAGGAGAAACTACACGACGTGATACGATGGCACTACTACGAATGGGGTGAGCGGTCAGAAGGCACAAAGGTGATATTGTTCTTGTCGTTCAGTACGGAGACTATGCCTGAGGAGATCGTATATAGACGAGCGATGGCGACAATGACGACGGCGGCAACAACAGGAGCACAGGAGACGATGTCGATGGCGCTGGATGCGAAGCAGTGGCCATGCAATGCGAGAATGGCCATACGGTGGATACGAGGCACGGTGGACATGAACGATGAGCTTGATGGCTGAAGGTTTCGTGTTCGTTTCGGTATATTCTACTTACATCTTCGTTATTCTAGTGCAGACAGATATCTACGACGAAGTGCGATCGCAGCGCGGGAATCCATGACAGACTACGAACGAAAGACGCGCGAACATACTGCGGAACGAGTACCAAGACTCCCGTTGGAACCGCGACTGCGACTGTCGAGGATACAAGAGCACGCGCAACATGCGAGAGACGTTGGGATCATGCGGAGCGAGCTCAATAGCTCGGCATTTCATTTTTACTTCAGGATGCTTTACTTACACCTAGGTATATATAGGGAGAACAGTTATCTACGACGAGACACGACCGGTGTTCCAGCGATCGCTATACGAGAGACCACAGCAACCTACGAGAAGAGACAATGGAGAGTCGGTGCGAAGATATGTGACACGATACAACGGTGCTACTACGAATGGGGCGAGCGAGCTGGACAAAGCGAAAAGGCGCCTGACAATGAGTTACAAGCAGTTGTGCAGTGTACACAACGACACCCGAGCAATCTAAGTACGACGGCGCTGGGTTCTGACATCGACGGATGGCGTTTCGAGGCGAGAAAAGTCCCTCAACAGGGAGATAGCCGAAGGATCTTGATTGCTGCACTCGACGGCTCAAGATTTTGCCTTTATTTCGTATTATTTTGCTCACAGCTACGTTATTCTAGAGGACGCGGTAGCTACGGACAAGGAGGGTCGCATTTCGAAGTACGAAGGAAGTACGAACGACTATGCGAAGCGACAAGGGCTCGAATTATCACCGAACGATGGTCGTTCGAAGCAACAGCGAGCCTTCGATCGAGGAGAGACTTTGTAGAATCACATGCTGAGCTCGACGGCTCATACCTTCTCCTTTGTTTTGTGTCGTTCCACTCACAGCTGCGTTACTATAGGAAAACCCGGTATCTGCGATGGAGTACAGTGGCATACGAGGAGATACAGTGGACCGAAGAGTCGAAGTCGCACGAGGCAACTCGACAGTACTACTATGAATGGTGCGAGCAAACAGGATACAGCGAAAGGGTGCCCGACGACGGGTTTCAAGTAGACAAGCAGTGTAGCCATGCATCGAAGTTCGCAACGAGGGAATGCCTGACAGAACAACGACGGCACGCACGAAGCGTCCGAGTCACACAGAGCGAGCACAGCAGCTCGACATTCAGTTTTTACTTTGAGCTGCTTCACTTACGACTGCTTTATTCTAGAATACGCGAAGGACTACGAAGTACAGGCGAAGCTTTAAGTCACCTCGATGTGGATCAACTGCCAGATAGACAAAGTAGCACTCGACGGGTTCGAAGCGACGTGAGTTCACACCCAGAGCCCGAGCGCTCTTCGTTTCCTTTCATTTTTGTGACAAGTTACTTACGAATGTTTAGTGTTAGGGTATTAGACGAGTGCGAACACGAACGGCCAGCTATGATCGAAGGAGACTACTGAGTTGCGAAGACAAGCATCAACTATGAAAGCTTCTTGGGGCTGGTGTCGAATGAAGCAGAAGCAGAGTCCCTCGAAGATGGAGGGGAGAACCTCGCATGCCATGAAAGGTCGCTATGGGAGCGATATGTAGAGCTGGGACGAGCGCGATGGGGTGTGGACCCGAGGATGGCTGCACGGGAAGAGAAACTCAGCAAGGGAGCTCACGGGTTCAAGGTGACCAGTTCTGTTTTGTTTCGAACATGCTCTACCGCAAAGTACAGTGTCCCTAGCATGAAGGGAAAGGCGATCGACAGGGGTGTACGGCTCGAAGCCATCCATCAGTACTTAGCATCAAGACTTCGTCCGCCTGACTGTGAGGTCAAAGGCCGACAATCAAGATCGAAGCAAATTAGTGCCTGTATCTGCCGGGGTCGAAGACCTGTCATCGGGGAGGACTCGAGAGTCTACAGACTAAAGGTGACGGGATTTATTTTAGTTCGAACATATACTACGTCAGTGTCCTTTGTGTCTAGGGTTGAAAAGTAGCAAACAAAGATGGACGACTCAAAGTCGCTCGGCGACACTTAGCGCAAGGGCTTCGGCCACCAGATGGAGTACCAGACGAAGTATGAGAAGTCAAGCATGCACGTGTGCAGAGAGTCGAGGGTACGAGAGAGAGAGGATGGTGTAGCGAAAGCCACGGTGAGCGTATCGACATATAGATTCCCTTCATACCAGTCTGGCTTTGTGCGACGTCGTTCAACCGAGTCGCGCTAGTCCTTGGGTGATTCTACTCACCCCGACATGTAGTTTCAGTATTCTTTCACTTTTTTTATGTGCTAGATCGTCTTAAGGACGAGCAGGAGCCGAGAGCACATATGCGTATAAGGATGGTAAATACATGACTGAGCGAGAGTTTTTTTTAGGTACATATATGTCTTTGAACTGCCTCGTAAAGGGCAGATGTCCGCTATACCAGCCGCGGCGCTGCGTCACACCCCGTTACCGATTCGCACAGAGACTGTGCCTCGAAGACCAGTCTTCGACTCGCTCTGCACTCGGCTTATTACTCACTTGTTTGTGTGCTCAGAGTTACCTCTGTGGTCATTCAGTTCGAGAAACTTGGGGGGCTGTGGAGCGGTTGAGGGCCGAAGGGGTCGTCTGTGAGGAGGGCGAGAGTTGTGTCCGAGGAGGAGAGGTTTTGGGGGCAGAGAGGGTTGTGCTGCGAGGCTGGGAGCGGGTCTTGGCGAGGAAAGGGGTCGTGTTTGAGTAGCGCGAGATTAGAGGGGCGAAGAGTTGTGTTTGAAGGGCACAAGAGTTTGAGGGTGAGGATATGTGGCGAGGCCGAGGGAAGTAGACGCGAGGGCGAGGATGTTCGTGCGAGGAGAAGAGCGACCGAGGACGGTCGAATTCTAAACCACCTCTCGGATGTAGGGAACGAGTCCGCATTCCCTACGAGAAGTCATCTTGGTCGGAAGAAAATAGGGGTTGGAGGACTTGTGTTTTATTTCTTGCTTTTGTTTTCATGTTTGTACCACTGGACTTGGTGGCAAGCAGCCGCATTGCTGACTAAGCATGTGTGCTGTGTTTGTGTGAGTTCAGTTTACCAAAAAAAAACAAGTTCATGTCACAGGCCCTCAGCAGTAGGGTGATTTCATCTTGCATTTTGGTGAGTTTTTGAGGATAGAATTATTACTTTGGGGAGTACCCAAAGGGCCAGGAGGACTGGCAAGACATTTAGATCAGTAGGAAGACATCCCAGAGCTAAGTCTTCATTTTAGTTCACATTTTTACATTTTTACTACACTTCTTTCTCCAGAGAGAACCTCCCTTTTGGGTCAAGCACTATACTCACCCATGTACTGATAATTACTATTTCTAGGTATCTTCTGTTACCTATTCCTACAGCATTGACCCTTCAGTAGTGGGAGGGAGTCATTTGCTTCAGCATCTGCAGATAGTGAAGCAGAGAGTGATGGCAAAAGGGCATGGTGCTGAACTGTATGTAGTAGATCAAGGGTAGACATCCCAAATGGTGAAGTGAGTGATGGCAGGATGTCCAAGAATGTTATAGCACTCCTCCAAGTGTGCATTCAATGCATGTGGTACTAAGTCAAACACTGGGTGGTTTGCATCAACATATAGCTCACAGACATGCTTCAGTGCAGTCCTGTCGACCATGAACTGCAGTGGGGTCAGTCAGATTAGCAGAAATGAATTGTGAAAGAGAGAACTTGCCTTCAAGTCCAATGCACCATAGTCCTGGGGAGAGTCAAAGATCAATTCAGCAACTCTGTGAGGGAGTATCTGTAATTGGACTAAGATGCTAGTGAGTGACTAAGAAATTGAGGTGCTCACCTTGTTATGATCATGCCATTTGGCTGTGTGGTTTACATGATCACAATAGCTGTCAAGTTCTTCTTGGAGCCAAGGTATGAAAATCCATTGAAAAATCATACTAAACAAAAGCACAAAAATAAGTTTGTGTTCAGGATTCATGAAGGTGGGCAAGACACTTATCATTGCAGAGTGTTATCTATGTCATACCAGCCCTGGTGTACCCCATTGTCCAGAAGTGATTCAAAACCAGGAGTGAAATGATGACAAAGTTGGGACCACATGATTTCTGGTTTGATATTTTTCCTAGAGCACATCCACTGATGTTGCAGGGTTCCCTCTAGTGCAGGGTCATGCCACTGGTGCAGCATAGTTTGGGCATTTGCAATACCAAAATTTTCAGAGCCAGGGTCACTCTGAGTCACAAGGGGAATGACTGCAGCCCATTTGTCAGTAGTGATGCTTGAATGAGAAAAATGAAAAAGACCTACATCCAAGATTGTCAACCACATCAAGGTAATAAGTAAGAATGAGCTGTGGGTTTCTATTTGAATGCCAGACATGAATCCAGAGAATCTTGCTAGAAAATGGTTCTACACCTGTGTGAAGAGCAAGGCCAACCAGTTCCATTTGTTGTGTTGATCCGCTGCCCATATATTGTTTACTCCAGCTGCCCCAAAATGTTGACACTGGAGGTGGCATGCCTTGCACAGGCAATGAGATGTGGTTCATAGGTGGCAAAATACTCTTGAATTACACTTCTACAAAATGGGGAGTCAGGGAATGATGGTAATTGTTAAGCATGTGCACACCTGGATACATTCATGTTCCTCTTTTGTGTCATAGTCTTGTCTTGACCCTGGCTGGACTTGGCCTCATATTCATTCAGTCTGGCCTCAGCCTTGCCAATCCCATATCTCCAGTTAGTCTAGTGCAATGAACACTGCTTTGCAGTGCATGTCATTTCAGTTAAGCCCTGCCTGGTCTTGTCCCCAGTCTGCCCTGTCCCAGTCTCCATCATCTTTGTCATACATTACTAATACTTGTCTTACCAATCATCATAGCAATCTTTGCAAGACTGGCATTACTGGTCTCCATACTATAGTTGTCTCTGGTATATAAACTCATAGATACCTGGCCTGTACTCTTCAGTCTGAAATCAAAAAGTTACTCTGATAATTCTGCCTCAGCTTGGACTTGGACTGAGACCCATGCAAGGGAATAGTGCTGTAATCTCAGTCACTAAGTCCAATCAGTCCACCCCCCCTGTATCTTCGACCCTCCTCCTGTTCCCAACCCCTCAGCCTTGCACCCTCTTCCACATAGTGTAGTCACATTTAGTCACAACACATGGGCAGCCTGTGTGCCAAAACACCAACACTTATATAGACCCTGAGATGGGCCTGCCTAAATAGATTAGCCAGCACACATGGACAGGCCCAAGGGACTAAAGTGAGAGCAACATATGTATGGGCCTGTAAGTGCATTACCACAACATATGGGAGGGCCTGTGGTGGGTAAGGATGTTGAAACATTTAGATGGGCCCATGACCAATTAAGTATACTGAGTTGCTGTAAGACATGGATGGGCCTGTTGGGGTAGGTTACACCCCTGTTGCAACATCAAGGTGGGCCCACCTATCATAACATGGAGAGGGTCACAACATATGGATGGGCCCAGGAGTAATATCATTTATGGTGTTGCAACATCTAGACAGGCCTGTTCATAATAAGCCATACCCCTGTTGCAACATAAGGACAGGCCTGTTGACAGTAAGATGTACTGCTGTTGAAAGATAAAGATGGGCCTGTCACTAGTATCATTTAATAGAGTCACAACATAAGGTCAGGCCTGTCCACAGTAAGATGTACCTCTGACAAGACATAAAGACAGGCCCATCAGTAATCTCATGTATAGCATCACAACATATGGATGGGCCCTTCAGTAGTGTTATTTATATCATCACAACATATGGGTGGGCCCAGCCCCAGTAAGATGTACCCTGTTGAAACATAAAGACAGGCCTATCATTAATATCATTTAATAGAGTCACAACATATGGACAGGCCCTTCAGTAATATTATTTATATTGTCACAACATAAAGATGGGCCCATCAGTAATCTCATGCATAGCATCACAACATATGGATGGGCCCTTCAGTAGTATTATTTATATTGTCACAACATATGGGCAGGCCCAGTCCCAGTAAGATGTACCCTGTCAAAACATAAAGACAGGCCCATCACTAATATCATTTAATAGAGTCACAACATATGGATGGGTCTGTCCACAGTAAGATGTACCTCTGACAAAACATAAAGATGGGCCTGTCAGTAATCTCATGTATAGCATCACAACATATTGACAGGCCCTTCAGTAGTATTATTTATATTGTCACAACATATGGGCAGGCCCAGCCCCAGTAAGATGTACCCTGTTGAAACATAAAGATGGGCCCATCAGTAATGCTGTTTAATAGCATCACAACATAAGGATGGGCCCTTCAGTAGTATTGTTTATATTGTCACAACATATGGATGGGCCCATCAGTAATATCATCTAATAGCATCACAACATAAGGACAGGCCCTTCAGTAGTATCATGTATATCATCACAACAAATGGACAGGCCCATCTAGCAAGATGCACCCCTGTCACAACATAAGGACAAGTCTGTGTATGGTATTCTTAGGCAGCAGAAAGGGAGATCCAAGCTATCTACATAAGGATGGTCAATGTAAGGCATTCTCAGGCAGCAGAAAGGGAGATCAAAGGGATCTACATAAGGATGGGCCCATCCATGGTATTCTCAGGCAGCAGATAAGGGAAAACAAAAACCAGTGTTACAACGTAGGATGGGCCAATCTGTCCATTGCCGGATTACAAACCCTTGGCACTGCATAAGATGGGCCAATCTGTCATATCATAGATAGCTCACCACAAATGGACAGGCCTATCCATAATTGGGTTATCCCCCTGTCACAATATAAGACAGGCCCAGGAAGACAAGAAATGAAGAAAGTGGAACCTCTTGCACTATAGAGTATCTGAATTTCCCACTATAAATTGTGTTTCATGTTGGACAATTTGCCTATTTAGTTGGAATCTCAGGCACTGGTCTATGTAGCTGCAAGCCAGGCTCTGCCATTGGAGCAGATGGGAAACTTGCAAAACAAACAGCAATGCTATTCCAGAACAACACATCATATTTTTATCTGAGCCTCTGCTTCATATATGCATTCAGGATTATTGACTTGTACTGGTATTGCTGTCATGCTGTGGGAATCATTCATAGGCAGGATAAAAAATGTGACATCCACATATCTCATTGTCTGTCTTTAACCTCTGACTTTTCCACTCTCCAATCACCATCACCACTCTCACTGTCAAACTACTCCATCATCTCATCATCAGAAACATGTTGTTGTTGTCATCTTGCAAGCTCTTCAAGAAATCACCTGAGCTTGATGCTGTGGCCAACCACATCCTTCAAATTTACTTCAAGGATATCCCAGAAAGCAGCAAGCTGGGAAAGGCAGACAAGATTGTGAACTGGAGAGGTGCCATCAAGGTGATAAATGATGAACTAGTGCATCATAGCATCATCACATTTTTTTTCACTAACTGATGCATTCAGGACACTGTATGTGACCTCATCACTAGGACAGATGAGATTCTGATGACCCTCATTGGTGTTGACACATTCTCAAAGTGGCATGAAGACCTCAGCTTGATTGAGCACCCATGGCCTGAGTAGAAGACTGCCCTATCCCCTTCCAAAACTGACATCACCAACCACAAGTGGCTCAACATCATCAAGTGTCAATATGACTACCACTGGTTGGGCCTCCCTATGCCCTGCATGGTGCCAACACCAACACCACCCACTCAAGAGACCAAAATGCCTATGAGCGACAAAGGAACATGGAGAGCGACCAAGGCAGAGGTGGAGCAAATGATAGCAGATAGCTTGCACAGGATGGAGGTGGACAATGAGGGTGAAGATGAGGTGCCAGAGAAGGAGAATGATGAGGAAGAACCAGTGTGAGGCAGGCAGAAGTGCAAAGCTGCTGCAAAAATGACATCCCATCAATCCAGACATCAATCCCACTCTAGGAAGGCAACAGTGGAAACCACTGATGACAAAGATGTTCCCACTCAAGGCCAATTGAAATGCAAGCCTTGTCCACTGTCAGACAGACTATACAGTTGCACTGCTGTAGCTGCCAGAAGGACACCTTCCCCTGACCCCCATTCCTGTGAGTTGTGCCACAGATGCAAGGTCCAATGCTACAAGAACTCCAGGAAGTCCTGCTTCCCTTGCAATGGTCACAAAATTTGATGTAGCCATGCCAAAGGCAGGATTGCTGCTCCAACTCGATGGAATCCATCATGAGCCAGGGGAAAAAAGCAAGCTCAAAGTCTGTCCCCAACAATGGAGGCCCAAGAATCCCAAAGCCCAAAGGAATGTCCCCCAAAGTGAGAGGTTTTGATGGCTTCCAAAGCCATCAATGCCAGGGTTTGGCCCTCCAACCAGGGAGAGATGATCCCCAAGGGATCTTCACTCAGTATGTTCATGATTTCATGTATATATGCTGACTCAAATTTTATTTAGAGATTTGTATTCCTGCATTCAAACACAGGGATTCCTGCCCAATCCCAGCTGCTGTATGAGTGAATTTGATTGTCAAGGCTGGCCCATCCATTGCACAGGAGGTAGAGGGATCTACAACAGCAGGTATGTTTAATCACTCTACATTTATGCTAATTATTGTGGTTAACCCTTGTATTCAAAGCAGACACCCACAACAGCAGCACCCATCCAACTCATAACTGCTGCAACTCCCAGTGCACTGTCACCTGTCTGTGCCCCAATCACTGAGGTGTCACAAATGTCCAACACAATTGAAGAGTGAATCAAAGATTTGGAACATTGACTCCATGATGCTGAGGCCCACTGCCAATACTATGAGGATTGAATGTATGATTTCCAAATACAACAGGATGAAACCATGCAGACACTGGACAGGATGGCTCACAAGCTGGAGGCTCTGTGTATTCAGGTATATGGATGAGCATTGGGTGACAATCTCATTGATCTCTTAGGGCCTCTGGCAGATGAGACAAGGGCAGATAGGACAGCAGGGTGAACAATGCTGTCTATCATTTTACTCCTCCATGGTACATATGATGTCATTTTATATTTCCATTTTAATTGACCACTCATGCCACATCACATATTCAACCTTTATTTAAGAGTGAGAAAGAGACAATAATGGCTAGACAGCCAACAGAATTGCAAAGGATAATCTCATTCTACTAAAACAACTGCTAATGTATCCTGATAGGTGGAAGCTTAGCAAATGCATGACTTTGTGACGTAGAATAGTTAACTTGAAACTTAAAAAATGAGATAGCAGGATGGTCTCATTCAGCTAAAACCAGAGCTGATGGAACCTGATAGATGGAACCTTTGCAAATGAATGGACTGTGCGATATGCGATAGCAACCTGCCATTCAACATATGCAATTAATAGTCTGATTTGGCCAACACATCTGAGTCTGCTAATATGGCTGCTGATGAATCCAAATAGATGGACACCTGGCGAATGAGCAGGCTATGCTATTT